TGGCTTGCCCGCCCTCTTGCACCGCCGCCCGCAGTATTGGTCGTTCCAGCCCGTGAGCTTGTTTCCCCTCCATATATGCACCCTGAAATGCAGTACTAAACCCACCCTAGTGGTTAAGAAGTATTATCGAAGAGGATCTGCCTCCACATCGCGATTTTCCTGAGACAGACCTCCTCCCGGGCTTGATCGATCTCTTCTTTGCGCGTGTGAATGATTACATGCCTCTTCTACACCGCCCCACGTTCGAAAATGGCATCAAGGAAGGGCTGCATCTGCGTGATGAAGGATTCGGCTCGACTGTCCTGCTTGTATGTGCTATCGGGGCACGCTACTCGAGCGACAAGCGTGTGTTCCTCGAGGGCTACGACAACTCGCATACATCCGGTTGGAAGTGGTTCAAGCAGGTGCAGATGGTCCGCAAGTCGTTGCTTGCCCCTCCAAGATTGTACGACCTGCAGATATACGTGGTACGTATATGGTCGTGGAACGTCACCGGATGTGGCTGTGGCTGACCGACTATATGCGCATCAAGCTCATGGCGATATTCCTTCATGGGACGTCTGCGCCTCAGGCATGCTGGACGATTATCGGAGTTGGCATTCGCTTGGCACAGGACGTGGGGGCGCACCGCCGTAAAGTCTACAACCCTGTTCCGACGGCGGAGGAAGAGCTCTGGAAGCGTGCATTCTGGTATGTTGTTGTCCACCGATAATCATCTGCACATCTCATACGTTGGCAGGGTATTGGTCACTATGGACCGCTCGATAAGCTCTGCTCTCGGACGACCGTGTGCGATTCAGGACGAGGAGTAAGTTGACGTGCATGCATTCCCTGCCAAATAGTCTGAAACTGTCTAGCTTCGATCTGGATCTTCCTATTGAGTGTGACGACGAGCATTGGTTCCATACAGATCCCAAGCAAGCATTCAAACAACCTCCAGGCAAACCGTCTATCATCACATACTTTAACTGCTTTCTCCGACTAAAACAGATCCTTGCATTTGCGTTGCGAACAATTGTGAGCTGACCCACCTGTTCTCCGATATATATGCACTGAAGAATGCTTGGCATCATCAGTATTCCATCAACAAATCCAAAGCGCTGTTAGGATTTGTTGGCCAGCAATGGGAGCAGCACATCGTCGCAGAGCTAGACTCTGCTCTGAACAAATGGATTGACTCTGTGCCAGATCATCGTACGTGTCCTCTGGACCCTCGCAATCTCAATGCTCATCGGCATCCATTCTAGTACGATGGGATCCGAACCGGGAGAATCTAACCTTCATGAACCAATCCGCCCACCTCTACGCCACCTACTATCAGCTACAAATATCCGTACACCGCCCGTTCATCCCCTCGCCCCGCAAGCCCTCTCCGCTTTCCTTCCCGTCTCTTGCGATATGCACCAATGCCGCGCGGTCTTGTATACACGTCCTAGACGTACAACACCGGCGCGCAGGCGGCATTCCCATGCATCAGAACCAGGTAAGTCGCCGTGCTCGTTTCGGATCTCATACCCATCGATTCGACGCATTCTTTTTGACGCTGTCATAACGCCCAGATGGCGCTCTTTACGGCTGGCATTGTGCTCCTTTTGAATATCTGGGGAGGCAAGCGCTCTGGCCTTGCTACGGATCCGGCACGCGAAATGGCCGACGTGCATAAGTGTATGAAGATGCTCAAGGCCATGGAACCTCGGTAATTCTTCTGAATTCTCAACCGCATGTTACCTCACTGAACGGCGATTACGTGCAGATGGTATACGGCAGGACGCCTATGGTGAGCTCAACCTCCCATTGTCTTGCGGCGTCGCTCAATACAATTGTCATGCTAGGGACATCTTATACGAGCTTGCGTCCGTCGGCGACCTACCGCTCCCACAGCCAAGTCCGCCAAACCAGAACAAGCGGGAACGAGACGCGGATAGCCCGATATCTGCCGGCTCACCTGCCTCGCCTGCGGCGTCTTCGACAACTGCCTCTGAGGCCCCCCGTAACATTGCCGGCTCCAGACGAGTGTCGAAGGAGTCACCGGCGTCCAACGCGCACCTCGGGCAGACGGGCACGACATCACAAACGCCGACGCCGGTAGCGTCACAGTATGGTTCAACTCCCTCCTTCGCGAGTGATATGCATTCTGGGAACATGCAGAATGTGCACACATTCTCACTCCCAACGCACAGCGACGAACTCGGGCGGATGCCGTTGCACCCGTCTATGAACAACGTGCCGAACCCGTTCGACGCCGGCCTGAACAATCTCTGGTTCGACACTTCGCAGCCAACCGCGCCGATGGGTCCACCACCGGACCCGCCGCGTATCGTTGGGCCATCCACTGCGCAGCCGCCACCGCCCATGGGCACGACAGACCAGGGTGGCTCGGTGTTCCACGACTTTACGTTCCGCGCAAACGAGCCATTTGATCCGTCCTTTATGTTTATTCCGTCTCTTGGGACGGCTCCGACTCCCGCTACAAATGGGTTCCAGCCGCTCGAGCCGCAACAGCAACAGCAACAGCAGCCGCAACCGCAGATGCAGGGAGCGGTTCCGAACGCGATGCAGGGCGGGCAAGCGCAGTTCATGGACCCGACGTTCTCGGATAACAGTACGCTCGCAATGTGGTCTAATGCGCCTTCCGGCTTCGAGTAAGTGTTTACCCGTGTTCTGCTGGAGCTCAACTGATGTGCTCGGCGTGTAGATGGGAGGATTGGGGGACGTACGTGACGAACGTGAGCGGGATGAACATGAACATGGACATGCCGAATCTCAATATGAACAACCCTATGGGTCCCCCGAACGGGGGTGGGCCGGGATAGGCGTGCACGCATGAACAGTAGCTCGTCCTTGTCCCGCCACCATATGTTGCATGTCGCATGATATATACCACTGCTCTCTCCGTCCGCACCTCCCGCTTTCTAACCTATTGTTAGCTCTAAAGTACTATATTGTCTGAGATCGTGCGTAGATCATCAGTGCTATGGATCGGTTTCTCTCTCGTCTCGTTTGTTAGGCTTAGCCCCATCCGCTACGTCGTCTCACGCAAGTTGCATGTATCGATAGTTGCACGTTCTTTCGCAGAGCCTGCAGGATAAAAGAAGTTGCTTCCGGTGTCATTATTCTCAGCAATTGGTGAGAGGCATGCAATAAATTATAGAAGGGATAACCATGGTCTAAATAAGCGACAGACTCTGGTGCGATGCCATCAGAAACGTTAACATAGACTATTGTTAGGATAATGTAGTGGTCGCGATGAATCATTCCCTCTGCAATTGCGGTCTGCTGTTGGCCTTGAGGGACCAACTTACCGCAACGACGAAAACGCCCCATCGAATTGTCTGCTAGCTGTCCCCTACTGTAACCCACGAATAGCCTCGGACAACTCCTGGCCCAGACGGGATCGTCTCTCCTTTCCTATCCCCGACACTGGGATGGGATCATTTGGAATACGAGCTGGCTGTCATAGATTCGTGAGGGGACTGTGCGGGGATCTGGACCGATGATGGAGAACAGCTTGTTGAAGGGCCATATCACGACTGTGTCGGGAACGACAGATCTAGATGAGTGATTCATCAAGCTGTCATCATGATGCAAGTGGTGTGTAGATGCGCTCTATCTGGATTCGCAGATCAGGGCGAACGCTCGCTTGTGAAGCAACTCTGATGCACTGACCGAAAGATGCAACAAATACCGAGGGTCGTCTAATATTTCGAAGACTTTCGCGAGGGGAGGACGGGCGCGGCACCTCCGAAACCGTAGGACGACGCGAGCGTTCCAAACGCTTGCTCGTAGGACTTCATGTCGGTACTAAGGCTACGCGCCTTCTCTGAGTGCCAATCCGCAGCTTTGGAGGACTTCTTCGCAGGGGTGGGATGGACAGTCGCCGGTGCGCTATGAGATCGTTGCGTGGATGCGACGAGCGCCGAATTGTGCCCGTAGAACGACTGCAGCTTTCCAAATGCAGAGAAAAAATCTTTCTGCGGGCGTGGCGAGGGGGAGGACCTGCGGGAGCGGAAGAGCTTCGAGGAGGAATTGCACGAGGAGGTGCTGTTCACAGAGTCGAGGGAGGGCGACGTCAAGTTGGCGGACATGGCGTGTGCAGATATAGTTGTAAATGAGGATGCTACAGCGGTTGGAAGTTTGGAATTACTGGGCAAGCTAGTGGAGATGCTTCGGATGATGGAGCCATCGTTCCCCAGAGGTGTGATCTTTATACGCCTACCCTTCCCCGCACGACAGGGCAGTGAAGACTGGGCCGCAGCGAGTCATCAAGGCGAAGGTTGTGCGCAGCCGCACTACAGACGTGATACCAAGATCTGTCAACATGACTCGGATGCGTTGCGGCGTGCTCGGAAGTTGGAGGACCCTCTCTGTGCACTCGCGCAGCTTCCGTGCCGCGCGGGACCGTCGTCGGACGTTGTCACAAGGTTCTGTCGACAACACTGGTCCGCTCGAGCGATGACTCGGAAAGCTGTACACTCGCACCGATCTGTCAAAGCCAAAGATAGATGGGGCATGGATGCAATGAGGCGTCTTGATTGGGCGTTCCGTGTCGAGATCTCCGACTTCGTGCGGGGTAAAGATCAATTTCGATCAGCGCCGACCAGTTTAGATCGTCGTGTGCTGTGTGTTGTAAAAGTAAGAGGTTGGCAATCCCGTCATTTGTTGTCGTCTGCTATGTTTGATGCACCGCCCCAGAGTAGTGTGAACAAGGCATGCGCACACTGCACAGACCTCGCTGAGTCCGCGCCTCGCCCTCCTGGCCCTGAGACCGCAGTACAGACGCGCGCACTCGCTGCGCAAGCTTCGCAAGTCAATGACGGGAGTCGATCGTGATCGTGATCGCGGCATGTTCTGTGGTTCGTCAAGATTGCTTCCTAGGGGTCTATGGCCCTCCCCTCGAAGATCTGGGACCTCTGGACGAGTTTTACCGTCGCGAAACTCTTCGAAAATCTTTTTCTCGCAATGTTCACCCCATAGATGTGCATCAATAGTACGTTAGTACGTCCGATATGGTGTAACGGCTAACATTACCGCCTTTCAGCGGCTTACGTAATCGCAGGTTCGCGGTAGCTCGGGGTTCGATTCCCCGTATCGGAGTGTTTTTTGAGAAGATGAGGTCGACGACTTGTCACTTTCTGTCCTAAAACGCGAGGGTTTGGCTCGTACAGCAAAATTGCGCCTTTCCCGAGGGAGATCGGTCTTTGCCGCATGACACTGTACGTGTAGCATGCGCCACTGACAATGCCGCCTGCATCACGCGAGGGTCAGAATCCGTCTTCCCGGTACCTTGCCTGTCGAAAAACTGCCCATGTTGAGGGTGCCTTTGCTCCCGGTAATGCATGTCTCTGCGGATGCTGTGATATATTCGACATTTGCTGTCATTCTTTGCAGCTCACCGCCTAAAACAATCGCACTTCAATCACATGACGCACTAATATGCCATTCACCTTGTCTATCGTTTATAATTTCTCTATGCTCTTGAAGCTGCCGCCTGCACAGAGTGGGTCCAAACTGACTTTGCAGTCTGATCAAGACCACGTATCCTGAACGATATCTAAGACCTACCGAGATCTGCTGCTACCCAGTTGGCGCGACACTTCATCGATGCGATATGTCGTGGCTGTGCGGCTTGCACATGCTAAGCCGTAGCAAGGACTACAAATAGCTTCACAAAATGTCACCCGTGACCAGTCTCTGAGTCAGATCTAGCTGCCTTCTATTGGCCTCGTGGCGATAGCACGTTGCAAAGATGCTTTGAGGCTGTGCTTTGCGAGAGTATAAAGGTGGTTCAAGAACAGGTTATCAATTTGCTTGATTGACGATGCCTTCCTCAGAAGCAGTCTATGTACACGAGTTGTCTTCGCTCGGTCAAGGGCTGCCACTCTGGGACCCTGAGCCGACGACCCATGAAGAAGCACACATCGGCGACATTGGGTACATCTACCGCGGGGCCTTCTATCGTCTCTTCAATGTGATGAGCGATCCCACCGATTCGAAAAATGACAACTTGATCATGCCCGAGTCATTCGTGAAACTAGCATTGCCAACCGACGATCTGCAGGTTCATGATCCTTGTGCAGTCAAAGCTGGAGCCTTGTGCAGTCGAACTATTACAGCCAGACAAATCAAAGCCGGGATGCAAGCTACGTGTGTAATCTCCTCCCGACCGCCGGGAGAATTATCTGATGATTTGACAGTCAGAACGCGCAGTGTGGCTTCATGATTGATTGTTCCGGAGAGCAGGGCGCCATGCTGATGACGACGGATGATGCGGAGCGTCGCGAAGTTCAACCGAATCTCTGCATGCCGTCGTACATGCGAAAACATTATCAGCACTGGCTGCACCTCGCACGAGATGTTCGTGGCCACAATCTCAAGCTTGACAAGATATACTTCGTTCGTGGTACCGTCAAGACAAGCACATGGGCAGTCACGGCCTTCCACGGCAATGCAGAATCGTACTCTGGTAACATCAACATTTACTATGGTCCAGCCGGCTTCTCCCTCTCAGCTGCATCCTCGACACAAAATATTCGTACCCCGGAGATGCGATCTGGGCCGCGTCGGATAGGCCCCAATTGCCCCCGTGAGGTGATTCGGGGCGACAGCGACCACGAAGCACCGACGTCAGCTTGTACTGGACCAGCGCGCAATCAGTGCATCTTCCTACACTACTACAAGCTCAAGGCTCGTCCTCTGGTCAGTCCGAAGATCATCATGGCGGCGGCGGAGCCCTGCGATCCATCGGATGATTCGCGTGATGAAGATCAAACGTTTCTGTTTCGCACGGCGAGTGATGAATCATTGGATCTCCAGGGAGAAATTGTGGACGACACTGTTCCTTCGAAGGTACATAATCTGAACACATATAAGACATTCCATCAGTATTCATATCGAGTCCACAGGCTGAAGACCCGGTTAATGTCATTCTCGCATATATTCTGGAGGTACCCATCATCTCTATTGACGTCGATCTGTCTCTGTCATCTGATATACTCTTGTAGTGTTCCGATGACGAAGTAGCAATTGCCAGTGATAGAGATATCACCATCCTACGTTCGGTACGTGTGACTCAACTCGTTGAAGATGATCTGCCAGTAATTTAAATACACTTGGTCAGCGTGGGGAGTCCGTGGACGACTTGGAGACGCTGTTATGGAACAGAAGCCCCAGCATTCAAATATTTGCCGATGGTGGTAAGTGCATATCGAAGCCCCCTCTGAATGTACACTAATGCTCGAGCAGTTGGAATGCTATCCCTCTCGGACGATAGCCTGATTGATGTGGATGCTCCTCTTGGTCAATTGAACACTGTACTACAAGCGCAGAACTTCCCTTCTCATGCGCAGGAAAACTGCGACTACGTGATCCATGCGCAGACCCTCGAAGTTAATCACCCGATAACTCACGTATCTTAGCAACCTCTCCTGTACAACCAAGATACCCCATCAAAGCATCAGGTACGTCAAATGGATTTACCTGTAACCAATACTGAGAAAGCAATCAAGGCTCGCCGCAACTCCTTGGTGTATCAACCCGAAGACGTTAGAAGATCAGGACGGATGTTCTCGATTGACTCGCAGTCTGACCACGAGTCAACGGACGCGGAGGACCACTCGGAGGCATCAACCTCTCTGGAAGCTGTCAAGAGTGAATACAAGCAGCCCTTATATGATAATCGCTCCGAAGAGTTGTTCAACAAGATCCCAATCAGGCCACGGACGGACGATGGCGGCACTGTGCAGCCTGGGCTACTCTCACAGCTTGTGGACACTGGTCTCCCTATCTCCTCACCCAATTGTTCACAATCCGCGGTTTCTCTGACCGCTATCATAGCTCGCTCTGGTAAACATAACCCAGTCGCAATCGAGAAAAGCTCTTCCGCCACCCTGCTCGCCAGGTCCACTCCAACGCTGCCCTCCCTCATGTCTGACAGACGCAACCATTATGTAGCACCCGGTTCTGAAGGCGTTTGTATTCCACAGCACTGGCCAGGAGGTGGTCAGTACACGTGCCCGTATCCATCTTCCACCAGCCTCTACCCACCATCTTCCTATCATCAGGAAAATGTTGCATTCACTTTGGCGCTGCTTTTCCTGCTTTGGGCTATCAAAGCAGGAAAAGCGACGAAATTCCAGTCCCAGGGGACTGGGATTTTCCCGATTTCACCGCTTTTGGGGCGCTTATCGACCAGAAAAGACGTAAAAGTGGTAAAAGCAAACACAAGATTTTGCTGATGATACCGGGCATCCTTCTCTCAGAAACCATTCCGGGTTAGACCAGCTGATGTCCGTGCCTGCTTATGACACTATTCCATCACAGCCGCGCCCGATGTCCGGCTATGCGGACTGTCGCACGGCTGACCGACAGGCACAGTACTACCTCTCGAGATCCGACAGGCCACTGGCCATGGCCATACTACAACAGGCTGGATATGGCTCAGGCGAACATCAGAGCATCCAGGGGATGCATACATCTTCTCGTTCCCATCACCAGTCGCACTCACAGTCTCACCCCGCGTCATATCCATACGCCCACTCCTCCTCTCCACCTCTCTCGTCCTCTCTGGCGAGTATGCCGCCATCGCAGTATCCTGCGCAGATCACATTCACGCAGCAGGTGGGCTCCTCGCAGTACCCCACATCGCCGCAACGGCCGTTCTCCTGTGATATGTGCATTTTGTCTTTCAATTGCCAGCACAATTTGAAAAGGCACCGAGATACACACACGGGAGAGAAGCCACTTCTGTGCAATGGCGGCTGCAGCAAGACGTTCACGAGGCAGGACGCACTGAAAAGACACCAGGTCCGTCTCTTCTCAGGGTCCTCTTGCTGTCTTCCCGGTGTCACTCACGACAGCTTACGTAGCTCGTCAAGTGCTGTGGTACTAATGAAGGAGTGTAATGAAGGAGGATCGACCGACGACAATTCAATCTCAGAGTCTACCCTGTACGTCAACACACTTATGCATATTGAGCCACCGCTGACAAACGAATAGAGGAAAATGCTCGCTAATTGCCCATGAATGTGTACCCTACTCGATTCGCCAGTCACTCTGTCGCTTTCGAGCCCTTATTCGCAGTCGGAAAACTCCAGATCGTACAAGCAGTATATAATAATACGCGATCCCGGCACCCTGCAATCTAAGGCTCCAACCATTTTCTTTACTTACTTTGTATAAACCCTTTAAACTCTCTAAATTTACTTTCTCTTTACACCCCTGGCTGTACACAGTAGTAAAAAGATTATAAATGTTGTAAACCTGATCTTTATTTATCATGTTCTGGGCACTTGCGTGGCATGAAACACAGCATGAGGCTACAAAATGCCTCGTATAAACACTAGCACAATCATGATTCCCAGCTGAAGCACCCATAAAGCTACTGAACATCTCACGCGTGTCGTGCTACTCGTCACATGACCACACAAACTCGAGGTCAGCCCCACTGTCTGTTTGCATAGCTGGAGTGTTGAAGTCTGAGAACCTCAATTAACTCAAAAAATCACTTGATTCTATCAATCTATAGTACATTAATAGTTCCTGCTCTGAAGAAGAAATTCTTCGCCACCTAGCCCATGTAAACTGTTTATACTCTTTTAGTTACATTGTATTTACTTTTTATTTTCTGTTTACAAGATTTTTATGAATGTAAAGTAAATGGTTGGAGCCTTACTGCAATCTGATATGCTATCGTGTTAAGCATGATCTCGATTATGCAAGTGGCGGCGTACCTAAGAGCGTGGACAATCGGAAGGTGGGGAACAGATCAAATCTGTTACGTGGAGGCTTCGACCGCATTGAACCTCTTCTCACCATGGGCATAGTCCGATATCCCGACTTGGGGCATGCTGAGCACATGCCGTGCAAATATCCTATTTACTCTAGGTGTAACGCACATGTCCCTTGTGAACACATGTCAAACACAGTTGAATGTACTAGAAATCTAAACTGTACTCATGATGTTCCAGGGGTCTTCGGGAATATAAATCATGTACTTAAACTTTCCATACCTTGAAGTTTGAACATTGATGGTAAAGGTGAGGGTCCGAGGGACAAACCAAATTTGCGCAGTCTGGACCTCACATGTCCCAAGTCTG